AGTAAATTTAAAAAATTTGGATATCATATGCCCTGACATGCATAGTTGTAGACGAATTTTTTTTTTTTTTTTTTTTTGCGTTTCTTTACATTTTGTAATAAAAAGAGAAGTAAATAACTGCCTTCTTCCCCGTTTTCAATAATATCCGTCGTTGCTTAGTACAAAATAACCGCCAAAATAGCTCCAAAATATTTTTATACGCACCGAATGCATTTGACCAGCGGTACTGCTAACACAGCAGTTTATCCGATATCTACTTCATCTTCATCGTCGGGTCTAAATCATATAAGTGTTGTTAGCGATCTTACCAGTGTTAGCGGTGTCGGTCTTGGCGGTGTTGGCGGTATTGGCGTTGGTGTTGGTAGTGGTGGTGGTGTTGGTGGTGGTGGTGTTGTTGTAAGTGGTGGCGGTAACATATTAACAGCAAATGGTGCTGCCACCATGGTAACGTCATCAGTGTCGCCTTTAAATTCGCACAACGAATCGTGGAGTTTAACAAATCCCTCTTATAAGGCTGAGATTAGTATGTGTGAAGCGATACCAGCCAGTAGCGCGGCCAGTATTGGCAGTAATTCACCCAATGGTGGCGCCAGCAATGGTACCGCCAATAGTAGCAATAGCAATAATAATAACAATAACAATAATAATTCGAATAACATTAATAACAACACTAGCAGCAGCACAAGCAACAACAACAATAATAATAATAATAATAACAATGTTGTACATCAGGATTTAGCCTGGACTGAGCGTTTAGTGTTTGAAGCACATCAACAATTTCCTAATGAATTGGGTGAGTGTGTTCGTTCGTATCAGCAAAAAAAAAAAAAAAAAAAACAAAATAAATAAATAAATAAATCTGTAAGAAAGCATCTTAATATACATAAGAATTACATTTTGTGTTCTTCGCATAAGCATCACTCAATGATTCAGTTTTTATCTAAAAATCTTACATATTCTCAACCTATTCATAATTCTTCTTCACTATCATCGTTTCCATGCATTTATTTGATTAAATTCTAATATCTGTCTGATAACGTTATAGACTGACAGCTATTAGTTAAACATAGTTAAACTAAGATTTGCAATTGAAAACATTTATCTATGTTTACCTTGCAGTTCATTCAAGTGACAATTCGTTTGGCATCAAAGATTAAAGATTTCTAAGAATAATATATGACTTGTATCGAGTTAAACCGTTTGTAGGTCTATTAAATTTAACTAAAGCGTTAGTTATGACAGACTATATGCTTTTAATTAATTAATGGCTTACGTATATATATATATATCGCATGAATCATTTTTCGCGTTGAGATTAAATAAACATTGATTATTCTAAATCCAACAAACTATATAGCAATGGATAAGAGTAAAGGTTTTCCATCGGTTTTTTCCTTTTTTTTTTTTTTTTTTTTTTTTCTCAAACGTATATATCATTGAAGCTATCTCTCTTGGTCGGAAAAAGTCGAAATCATGCCCGTAGATAGAGAGTTATTTGAAATATTATATTGTGCCTATTAAATATTAAGCCCACTAAATTATTAATGGCTTTCGTTGATGCACGAATTCAAGATATCTTTTAAAATCGCGGAATATTTGGTAATTAAAATTAATTTAATTTAAATACGGATATTATTCTTTTAATTATTTCCTTTCTTAACTAATTTGAATTCATTACACAATTCGGACGCTTTGCGAATCAATTTAACTAAGCCAGTAAAAACAAAACTTGGATCAAAACGATATCAAGCGATAGTAGACAAGTCCCAGATACAATGTCAACTCAATATTGAATATTGAGTGATAAAGAAATAAAAAATTAATTTCTTTATGATTTTTTTTTTTTGTTTTTTTCTCAATTAGAAAGTTTACCTCTGTTTTAATGCAAAGTATAAAGAATGCATTTGCGATCAAATTTTTTCATTTTATTATTATCATTATTAATTTTTTCCGTTTATTTATTATTGACTCAAATAAAAATTGTGTTTTTTGTTTTTGTTGTAAAATTTTTTTAACAATTTATGAAATTGCGTTAATTCTCTATAGATGTGATGTTGCATTTTCCATTCAATCAAAGAACATTTTGAAACTTTTTAGAAATAGTTCGAAAGTAGATAGCTAATCACCCCGCAATGTTCACTTACATGAAACTATAGAATAGGGACAGAGATGTTGTTGCTTTGGTAATTTCGTCGTAAGCTATATGAATACATTCAAATCGATTTTTGTATTATTTATAATTGAATGTAACACTAGAAATTGGAATCTTACTTAACAGCAGTAATTCGTCTTTAAAATTCAATTTAAACAAGTATGTTTAATATGCCAAAACGAGTAAACTCGTTCGAAGACGAAATATTCAATTTTTTTCTTTCAAACCGTGAATGGATGCACTTCTGAAAGACATCCGCATCGTGCATCAGTTATCCAAACGTAGAGATACGATTTTTATATGATTTTTCCACTGCACCGATGCGATGCAAGCGATACTTTTAAATATGCATCCAATTAAAGCATATTTTGCGACTTTGTTGCATTCATGCACGATGCAAATGTGTTCTCTGTATTCACTGCTTTCAATCGCTTTCATGCGGTATTTTTGTCTGTCCGCTTAATATCCCATCTATGATTTACAGAATTCATTGACTAGACACATGGAATAAATGTGATTCGCCAACAAATACGCCCATAATTAGTTAAAACATGAAACAACTTACTGCGTTTTGATCTTGAGTACATTTATTTCATCGATTCAGTTATTGCAAGTGGTATACGTGAACTCGTATAAAAGGCTCATGCTCTCAATTATTGTATACACAATCGCCATTTTTACATTTCCACTTACCAGACTATTGGATAATAGCATTTATAATACTGCGAAAGTTTACCACGAAAGATTTTCCTCTTATTAGCAGCCATCCTGAGCTATGCAAAAACTTTCAAAGCCTAGCAGCTAATGAAATCGGGTGCCAACCGATTTATAAGAAATTGCTTTGCGCTAACAAATCAGAGAATGTAAGTCTGGTCACAGCTGTAGCACGATGATCCACATAGTTCTAGAGCATATTCGTCCCGAGAATACTAGGAAGAAATTAGTTAATCTCTTAATGATTGATTTCTTTGAATGATTTCTCTAAAAGTTAAAGTTTAGCTTTAGCTTCAGTTCAAGAGCGATTACACTTATTACGTCTCGTCTGAAGAAACGATACTTAAACGGACGAGAAGGTGGGCAATTATTCTTCCGAGATAAGAGAAATGATATCGAGCGTATCGATGGGCTCCATATAATGGCATCTGTCTGTCTTCTTTTTCCATGTTACCATGCCGTCATAATAGCAACGGAGTTGGATGGTATCACGCTGATCTATTGCTAATGCTGATCAAATTAACTTTAAGTTTTATTATTATTACAAATTTAGGCAGAGAGTAATTTCTAAGACTAAAGTCTTAAAAGCACTGGCATCTAAGGCTTTCGGCTTTTATTAAAAAATCTACCGCAATTGAGATTTGAACCCACGACCATTGAGTTGGTAGTCGAGACTCTTGCCTACTCGGCCACTCAGGCGGATAAACTTTAAGTACATTCAAATTCATTGCTTAAATGAAATTGCCAGCGAAGGATCGTTCCTAATCTTGATTTATAAAATGAACTCCCGTCTAAGTGCTGATAATCAGATCAATTTGATGCGTACATATATACATAGTATATCAAGGAACTTTAATGGCTTTCTCCCTCTCTCATATATTCCAAGTCAACTTAAATTGAAATTGGAGAAATGTCTAACTTTGCCGTTTACATGCCGGATGGAGTCAATGTATAAAAAAACTCGGCTGCGCCTTAAAGAATAAATCATAGTCTCTTGTCGATAAGAATGCTCAGATGCGTCTCGACCGAATATCGCTCACAATTTTAAATGTCGATCGTCTATAATACATTAGGATAAGAAATGTGATTTTCATTTTCAAGCTCATCTTCCTTTGTCTCGTACAGCATACTCACTTCAATGCATATATATTGAATTTGTGCATTCCGAGCGTCTTTCCAAACGATACGTAAATGCTGAACATCATCAGGATTATTTCTTGTAAAACTCTATACAGTAATGTGAAGTCGTTATCACTCAATATCAAGGCACTTGTCAATCCAAATGGCTTTAGAGTAGCAACTAAGACAAATTAGTAATTAGTAATAGGTATTCGAGAGTAATTATGTTTGAAATTTTCATAATATGTATTTTTGTCCAACGAAATTTTGTACGGAAAAAGACTTCATATTTTTACCGGTAAAAAAATTTCATTTTAATTTTAATTAATAATTATTATTCATATAATTAATTTCATTATTATTAATAATTATTATTTCTAATTTTAATGAGAAACAAAGCAAATGATTAATAAAGAATTTGAAAAAGTGTATGAAATACGTTTCTTAAGAACTTATGAAATGCCCAAGAATAAGAAAAAAAAAAAAAAAAAAAAAAAAAAAAACCAATTCTCAGATGGTATAATGTATCATCAGCTTTATGAATATAATACATAACTCAATAGTTTTGTTTGTTGATATTACCTAAAATGATTACCTAAGAATTCGTCAATATTCATCCTACGTCCGACGAATTTATTGATTGATCATGTATTACTATCGAGCATTTTTTTACCACTCAGCCAGTTAGCAAGCTGATAAGTTCCCTCTCTCTCTCTCTCTCTCTCTCTCTCTCTCTCTCTCTCTCTCTCTCTCTCTCTCTCTCTCTCCCACACTTTCGTATCTAAGCACTCCTATGCTAAAAATCTGTATTAATGTTCCCGACTTTAGTATAAAAATCGCTTGCCACGGCGCCAATAACATTCTAATGTCATCATTAAAGTTCGTTTTATAATAGTTTATACGACCTAATGATAGTAGGGCAGAACCTAAAGTTATCCTCGATAGGTACTGTAAGTAAATTGAATTTATTTCGCAATATGATGCTAAAAAAAAAAAAGCTCTTTTAGACCGTTAGGTCTTCCAAAATGAATTACGAATAAAATGTCATTTAGTTTAAATTCAAATTAAAAATTCCTGCGCTTAAGTTCGCCCAGAAGTACTAAACACAAAAATGAAAAATTCTTCTTGACTTACTTATATTTTTTAAACCTAAATACTAAACAATTTTCGGTCGCGAATAAATTTTAGAAAAAGTAAAAAAAAAATTTATTTATTTTGTAGTCTAAACGAACTGAACGCACTATATACGTTTAGTTCAATCTTAAATCTAGATAGAAAATAAATATGAGCATAATAAATGAAAAGAAATTTATATAGAAATTGTCATCTTTTCAAACTTGATATTTTTTGGACACTTTAATATGCCCTATGCAATCTTGCTACACTTTATTTATTAAAAATCCAACTTGAGATTTAGCCCAAGATTTGTGACCTATGCAAGACTTGTGCTTAACAAACGAAACTCCAAAGAATCCCAAAAAAAAAAAAACATGAAATTAAGACCAACGCATGCCAAAATTTGAAATAATATCGCCGACGCATTATAAGGCTTCTTGAGTTCACATTGTATTAAAAAAAAAAAAAAAAAAAAAAAAAAAAATCCTTTCACATGCCCATAAGGATACTTTAGATATTCGAGTGTGCGTGCGTGTGTGCGTGAAGTGAAATCAATTTGAGTGATATCAATAACAATTCAACCATTGAAGTGAAAAATTACAAAAAAAAAAAAAAAAAAAAAAAAAAATTGATCGGAAAGACTTAACATAAAACTAGTTTAAGTAAAATTCTTCAAAATCTTATAAATATTCAAGTAATCGAAGAGCATCAGCTAAAATTTCATATTCATATTCATATTCATGTTCATATATAAACTGGAAACAGTGCAACAGTTCCCACGTAATTTAATATATAAAAAAAAAAAAAATTTTGTTTCTTTTTTTTTTTTTTTTGCTTTTATTTATTTTCAGTTCGCACAAGTAATCCGTATTTTCTGTGCTCCGCTCTGCCCTCCCATTGGCGTTCGAATAAGACATTGCCATTGGCTTTTAAAGTTGTGGCATTGGTGGATGTGGGCGATGGTACTAAGGTGACCATCAGAGCCGGTAACGATGAGAATTATTGCGCGGAATTACGCAATGCTACAGCAGTCATGAAAGATCAAGTGGCCAAATTTAATGATCTGAGATTTGTTGGTCGCAGCGGTCGAGGTGAGTGCACGCAAACAATCAACTCAACTTTGTCTTTACACTGAATATGGTAATTCTCCTTGCAGTTGTTATGCCTTCTTTATACGATTCATTTATATGTGTTTCGGCAATGTTTCGTGTGCACATATATCAAAGGAACAGAATTTAAAAAAAAAAAAAAAAAAGCAGAAAAAAAAGCATAAAAAAACGAAAAGAAATGAAAAGAAAAGAAAAGAAAAAAGTTTTACTTGTACAATCACTTGTACGTTATTTTGTTTGGTCGGTCGGTTAGTTAGTTGGTTGGTTGGTCGGTTGGTTGGCTGGTTGGTTAGTTTGTTGTTGGTTGATATATTCCCTCAGAAGTTTACTCACAGAAGTCATCACATTAAATTTTGCATATGTGGCCCGGGGTCAGCATGCAATTGTTATATGCTGATACCTTGTGTGTGCGCTTCTGCCCTTTAGATATATATATATATATATATATATATATATATTATTGTTGTTGTTGTTATTCGATTCTTTTGTTTGTAGTTCAATGCTACCAATTTGCACTCATAACGATCACCGATCAAGCGGGAGCGTGTGTACATTTCTTTTGGCACCAACTGACAACAATGTTTTTTTTTTTTTTCAGGTCTTATGTCAGTCTGAGCAACATTTATTGTGCAATTTGTGAATTCATGCTGTTTTATTAAACACATTCAATATTCGGCGCAGACATACATACATATATAGCAGGTCCTTAAAGTGAATGAATGCACGGACAAACCTATTAAGCAGACTTCTGTAAAGATCATCATTTGCAGTTTGTCGTTAACGTATTACATGCACGCATTCTGCTGTCTGTTTAGTTTTTAAGAATAAACTTTTTTTTATTTTTTTATTTTTTTTTCTTTCTTAACACGCAATACATTCTTGTTTTGTTGGTATTATTATCCTTTAATAATCGATTTTAGAAGACTGTGTGATCGTTCGTCTCAATAATTTCATTTATTCCGTCTGGCTTTAATTGACAGGACTGGCAACAAAGTGGATAGAAATGCTGACTAGAAATTGTGTCATATGCTAGAAAATTTCAATTTTTCTTAAATTAACAGGCGAAAGGAAAACAAAACATTATTGCATCATAAAGGTCGAAAATCTATTTTGCATGAGAAACATTAACATGTGTTTTTGTAATTATTATGACATGTGTGTCGAGTAACTATCACTCAAAGAGAATTAAACAGCAATAATTATCGCGATTTGGTTCCCCTCTACCCTAAAACTTTGGTTATATTGCGCCAACGTTCATTTTAATTCATCCATTTCTGCATGCATTTAACATAAAAGCATTGAAATCAAAAAAAAGGGAACCTTAAGCCTAAGTATATTCCGATCTACAAAATATTTAATTACGACTAAATCGGTCAATTCCCTGAGTTAAGAAGCGCGATTGTCGTACTCGGATTCAGTTCTCACCGCGATATGTCATCACTTTAATTACGATTAGTGTAGTAACTGCACGATCGGTAAATATATAAAACAGTTACCGGTCGGGCATGCAACCCCTTCTCCTACCTATTTCTCTTCGCTGCTTTTTTTTTTTTTTTTTTTTTTTATGAGCAATCAGTCAGGGAATGTCCGCTATTCGTGTAACACGATGGTAGTCAGAGGGAAGAAGAAGTGAAGAAAAAGAAAGAGACATTGCCGTAACCTAGTGGGTCGGTAAGTGTTATGGGACTTAATCGACTGACCACTCATCTATCATTCCAAAAGCGAATACTTAGAGGTAATGTTAGGCCTTAACATTTACCAGAGTGGGTTTATTGACCCATACACAACAAACATATCTGGATTCTTCAGTATAGTTTAGCCCACCAGCTTATAGGGATTGTCTAACGGTCCGGAGGACGCCAGTTTAACGCTAAATTAATCCATCGTGTCAGCGGGCATTAAACGGACAAGATATGTACCCACGTTAAATCACCAAAGACATCTGACGACTCATTATAGCTACGATCAAGGTAAACTCTATCGTAATGCGATTTGAAACCGCGAATAATGTGACCTGTTAGTCACTGTTCTTACCTGCTCGACTACTGTTGCGGATTTAAAAATGTAAAGAAACCAAAGTAATTCAACAGATGCAATCCCATTAGTGCTATTATTCCTCATTAGTATAACTAATACCACAACAATTGTCGTCGTATCCATTATATCTGTTTGAGGAGCAACGCATTTTTAGGCCCATAAAATATATACTTATTTGCGGTATATACAAGATAATTTTAAGCATTCTGTCTTGGTTGGAAAAAGTAAATTTAATCACTTCTAACTGTATGTTCTTATGGTCGATTTTCGATTTCCAATTTTCGTACATATATGTACTGAGAGCAAAAACGCGCAAATTTTTGCTTAGAGAAATAAAGTTCCGTTCAGTTTTCACTTTACTGTGGGTGTGTGCTCTCATGAATTTCGACAATTTTCAATATCAACCTACCTACGGAAACAATTTCATTTGTTTTTACCAAAATTGAAATTGATGGCTTTAATGTGGCGACGAGGAGACTGTCAACCGCGCTCAGACGGACAGACATGTCTTAATTCATTCGCAATTTCATGTTGATGCAGAATATATATATATAGGTTTATGAGGCTTTATTTTGAGTGTTGCAAACATTATGACAAACTCATGCTTCGATGGTGGGTAGAATCAATGTCTAGCCAAAATTAATAATTGAACGTTGAATGATTGTCTCTTCAACAACTTGAATAAGTCAAAATCGGTCCTATTACGAACGCCCTATACACAATGACCTCAGTCTTAATATTAAAATATATGACAAATATATTGAACTCGTGGAGTCCACGCGTTATCTCAGAGTTGACCTCGATAGCAAATTAAACCTTAGTTTAGTAGAAGTTGGCTCTATTTCAAGTCGTTCTTGATGCTATATATGTCCGCAAAAACTTAGTTTGCTCTACATCAAGTACAAGAATCGTTTTATAATCTAATCTACAAAAACGCCAACACAAAAACCAGTCGTTTAAGGAGATGTGATCCGACGATTACGACTTGCACGTTGGCAAGCAGTATTTCGCAATTCTCAGAAAATAATTTGATGACTGAAGATAGTGAGCACATCCAAATAGCAACTGAGACCAGAAGCACGAACTAATCGAACGAATAGTAAAGTGCTATGCTGTCGGTTTGATAAATGTGCTTAGAGGGTGTGTCCGATAGTCGATTGGACACCGAGTGTTGAAGTTGCACATTGTTGTTCCATAATCAAAATCAAATCGTTGTTTATATTCCTTCTTTTTTATTGTTTGCGTTAAACGGATCGGTTAGATGATAAAGAATGCATCTAAATAATGCTTAGCTTTTCGAACGGATGCGTTGAAAGAAACCCTTTCTGACAGAATTGCTCTATGCACAAGCGTATCTCATCTATCAGAGTTCATTATCGTAGACGAGGTCCTGTTTTGTGAAAGTGTATTATGACGTCATAACATAAATATTCAGAACAGACAGCAGAACGTTTACGCAACCTATCAAATATCAAGCGTTGAATATGAAGCGCTGATGATAATGGAATGAAGTAGGGCCCGTCAGCACGATAGAAAGCAAACCAGACAAGTGTTACTTTTTAGACATTTCGTAAAAAATATCATGAAGCCATAGATTTTCGATTCCATGCCAGTATCCGTTACTGGCAATCATTCGGCGAAGCTTGTAACGGATTAATATTCGCAAAAAGCAAAAGTCACAATTTTAGAATGAATAAATTTTATTAGATATATATATATATATATATATATATATTAGATTTTTAACGTGTATATATGTGAGCGAATATTGAATAGAAAATGTTTGCAAGATATGAAGTAAGCTTGTGTAGTGAGTAGTTTGTCAAAAGCAAAGGTCGCAAGTATCGGATGCCGATACGGAATTGTTAATATTGAATGGGTTAAATGGAAAGGGGGGAAAAAAATATATATATATATATATTAACTATTAACATGATTTACCGGTATTCTCTTTAAGGTAGAGAATTTTTTTGCTTTTGAGTTCTGAAGAGAAGAGAGGAAATTCTGCTACATTATTATTATTATTATTGCATTGAAGAACAAGAGTAACGTAATTTTTCGAAATTTTGATGAAATACCTTTCATGCTTTTCGATCAATTTTGACACTGTCCGTAAATAAATTATACATATATAATGACAATGATAATGAATTTACTTGGGATAGTAATATATTTGGATGCATATTATAAAAGAATTTGTATATGAGAAAGGCACAAGTAATTCACTCTGAAAATCCTCAAATATTTTGTTAACCCAATACGCTATTAGCTCAAGAATTCCTACAGTATAAGCTTTCATGCATTCTATTTGTTATTTGGAAAATTAAAAATGTCGGATTTGAAGAAAAAATTTGAAGAAAATTAATATTAATATGTTAAAAGGGTGTAGACAAAATTGAATTTGAGAAAACCGAGACGCTGAGACGTAAATTAAATAAACAAGAATGCTAAGTATTGAGAATGAGGTGCGAGAACTAAACGAAATTTGTCATCGAACTGTTTATGAGCCATAAGAAGTTGCTTTGAACAAGACAAATAAAACGTGTTGTTGATGAGTAGTAATGTAGGTGGTTCTAATTAAACTTTATAAGCATCTTAAGAAGTAAGGGTATGATGTCTTCTATACGTGTAATGGCGATGTCTGTTCGAAAAATGTGACGGAAGAGAGAGAAATAGGAAAGGGGTCGCAGCCTATTGGATGTATGCTTCTACCGATTGAGTATTCGCTATAGCTATAACCAAAGTGAACTCTACCTCACTTGGATTTGAATCCGCGATCGCTGACTCGATAGTCGAAATTCTTACCTACTCGGCTGCATGTACGAAAAAGATGCTATCGTTATTCAACTATCTCCCATAAAGCAAAATATTAGTTCGAATACGTTCCGGCGATAAATGGGGAACAATATCCTGAGTTCGATAAAGGCAAACAACAATTTCGATTT